GTGTTTGGGGCCGAACCAACTTTACTTAAAAATAAACAGTGTCATTATGATTGTTTAATTTTAAACTTGTTAATCTTCACAAATACGAAAGAGTTTTTTTGTGGTATGTTAAAGATAAGCAACTGATCAACTTTAGACAAAAAGCTATAAATGGTTTTGATGTTCAAAACTGTCTGCGGGCCGGACAGGAGTGGCTCGTGGGCCGTATGTGGCCCTCGGGCTGCACTTTGCCCACATCTGTGCTAGAGAAAGAAACCTCTCTTATCCAAGTCCCTCTATTTAACCTCACCCTCCTCATTTAATTGGAATGGGAATGCTGCCCACTGCCCTAAGCAGCAGATGCCTGCAATTTCATTCTTGCTTGCAAAGGAGCCTCTGTGCAGTCCTGTCAACTAACTGGTCTGGATGACTAAATTCCTTTTCCTGACTTCCCCAGAAAAAGGCTGCCCTCCATTATATATTTTTAGTGCCAAAATCTCCAGTCAGCAGAACCAATGGACAGGGACTGTGGAAGGTCAAAGACTGAGAACTACTGATCTAGTGGTCTGAAGCCCGTAAGCTGTTTTAGTCAATATTTGCATAATATTTAGTATCAGCTGTAAGACTCAGTGAGTACTTGTTAAAGTGAACCAAGTAGAAACAAAGTCCAGATGAGAGAAGCATGAAAGAGGCTAAATGAATCCAGCTCTCGCCACCTATATTTGACAACCTACAACTTAAGTAATTACGAGTTTTTATGATGCTCTACAGGTTTTCTTACATCAAAAATTTCCTGTAGCAATAAGGTTTTGGTACATCTATAATTCTTAACATTGTTTCTTTCTGAGTAGGATGTTTAGTATGTGTTCAGTCTCATCTGGACTTTCCAATTCTAGGAATATTTCAGTCATGCACTTTAATCTCTAAAGCCTCCTGGGTTTCAGTTACTGTACAAATATGTTATTTGGGGTCAGACTATGATTTATGACATTTGGCCCCCCAGTCTCACTAAAAATAGGTTAAAAAGCTGCTGTCTCCTGTCTCCCATACCAAAGTGAAGCAAAATCCCCCACCTCCCATTTTAGATATCAATTTAGCTGGCAAAATAACATGTTAGAAAAGCTTTTAGCTAAAGCTTAGTCCAATAATCTAGCAATTTGTTCCACTTTTATAAATAAGAACTCTGCCCTTTGATTCAGAAAGGAAAGCACCGTTATACATACTTTAGTTCAGCTTTGTTTCTACCCACTCGTTTGAAAAACTTTGCACACCATCTCCACAAACAAGAGGTCAACACTTGCACCTGTATGTCTTCATATTTGATAATCTTAAATTTATTTATTTATTTATTTATTCTTTGTTTCTACCCACTCGTTTGAAAAACTTTGCACACCATCTCCACAAACAAGAGGTCAACACTTGCACCTGTATGTCTTCATATTTCATAATCTTAAATTGATCATTTCTTGTCCTTGCTTTAAAAAAATAAATAAATTGAGTGGGCAACATGAAGTATAAAGCCCATATCTTATTCCTTTGTCTATCTGGATGCAAGTCCCCAATACTTTTTACGTGCATTGGGCAAAACAAGCAATGGATCATTACCTATACTTAACCTCCTTCTCTACCTGCTCTTAGTTAGCAGGGGTCCAATTCAGCCTCTTTGTAAATGGTGATAGTAGAAAGATTAGTGGAAGGATGAGACAGGAGACCTTTAATGGTGTGACGACTATTTCCAAGTTAGACTGGGAACCATTATAAAACCTGGATTAGATATTTGGTTTATGACACAGGAAGCAGAAAAAAGCAATTACTTTGTTTTCTCTGTCACCCTTCGGAAGCATTTATTATTGCTTTTAAGAACTTGCCTTCAGTTAAGAAGACTAAAGTAAGTAAACTTTTTGTTAAGTAAACAAAAAACATTATGTTATCTGAGTTTTCACCGTCAGGCAAAGCTGAGAATGGCAGAATAAATCTTCCGACAAGGAACCAAGAACAAATCTGTGTTGCTCAAGTCGGTGACATGGCAGATTTTACAGTAGCCTGCCGCATGACCTGCTCTGGCATACCTTTTATCTAATTGTACTTCTACATGTTACTCAAATGCTAGTAATACAAAACGTATCACTAAGCATGACAGCCCTTTTGTCAGATAAAGTACATCTCCCCTTTGTACATTTTTGTACAAACTGTTCAGAGAGAGATTACAAAATTAGAACTGCAATGGCAATCTTTATTCTGATTGCATAGTTTCATTTTTGACAACTGGGTTCTGAAAATATTACAAGTATTTGATTCTTCATGAAAACCTAATCTTTTATATATTTTTTTCAGCCACCTAACAAGTTTTGTCTTTTTTTAATGCTGCACTTGTTACTTATCACAAATTCCAAAGAAGTCAGCAGATATGGAACTCTTTTAAAAAAATAATCAAGATGTCTATGCTGTGCCCTTTCAACATATTATGCCTGCACATCGGCCCTTTTATAAACAAAGTACTTTTTATGACAAACTACTTAATCTTATCTGACATGCTTTTTGTCTACGCAGTGCTGTTATTAGAGAGCAATGAATTCTCAGGCCAAAACAATATAACTATCATCTCAAACTAAAAAACCTACAAGAAACTGTAGGAACACCATATTTATCTACCATTTCTGGGAGACAGTACTCAGTCTTCTCACAGCATTTTTCTAATATATTTCTCAAAGTATATATAACACAAGTGTGTTTTAAAATTTAAAAATATTGATATTCATTGGATTATATATTATGTTTTCTGGTATCACACTAAATCTTAATCTATTCTACTAACTGCACAGATTGTACATATTAAAAACATTACAAAGTTAACTTGAGTGTTGTTAGGACAATACGCTATTGCATAAGACACACAATTTCCCTTAATATTTTGCTGTTCCAGGGATGTAAATCAACAGGAAATGCATCTGAAGCAAGATGTGAGAATATTAGTATTTGGAAACTATTGTGCAATTTCTTCAAGCCCTCTTCCTCTCCCACAAGGAATTAGATTTGAAAATATCTGATACTCTATGCTAAAGCTTGTCTTTGGCTAGAGCTTCAAATCATCAATCTATTTGTAACCGAGCAGTCATAATAAAATTGCTGTGAAATAGATAGATGTCAGACTGATCATTGCAATTACAAATCACATGACACAAAACAGTCTTATTAACTGTATCAATATTACTCTTAAATCAATAGCTGAAGGTGAGGCTATATATAAACTATGTATGTAGTAAACGTCAAGAAGACTGTCCAATGTAGGCTTTTGTTTTAGGCTCCCTGGTTGTAAGGGATGGCATTTTTGTAATTCCAGGACTTCCAAGCCCAAAAGACACCTATAATCTTCCAGATAGACTTCTAGGCCTGGGACAAAGAAAGAAGAAGGTCTTCCTACTACCATTATTTGCTTCATTAAACTTGCTTTGGCTGGGAAACAGAAAGGAACACCTCCTTAGTCACATTATTTCCTGGGACTTACCTTTCTCCTACATGGGAAGGGTACTTTATTGAGACCCTTGCCTATAGAATCTCCTGGGTAGAGACTACCCTTCCCAAGGAGCAATGCGGTGACTCACAGCAATCAGTGTAACAGAGGGAGCGTTTCCTCCTGCTTCCAAACCAGACCACATGTAGTGAAGGTGGCAGGAAGACCTCTCTTTTGAATTGCTCTTTTTCCTTTCCCAGCCCCAGAAGACTGCTTGAGGGAATCTAGAATATTTCTGGGGCTGGGAGTCCTGATATTATGAAAATGCCATCCCTGTCGGTCATGCTTAGAACAACTATATACTGTCCACATCAAACACACTAAAAGTAATGTTGCACTAACCAAGCTAATATTCTTGCACCTTATATTGTCTCAGACATATTGGTTGAAATCCTGTTGCTTAGCACTATAAATCACAAGTAGAATGGGCTGATTAGGCCTTTTTATGTTGCTGTCAGCCATCCTGGGCAATCAGGATTGTGCTCTCAGTTGAGTGGGGTTTATTTCTTAGTAAGCACATTTAAGACTGCAGCCAAGGCACAATTAGAATGCAGTCTTGTGCAAACATACCTGTAAGTTCCATAGAACATTGTGGAGCTTATTTACTTCTGTGTAAATATAAATATGATTATACAATGAGTAGAGTAAAAACCCAATTGGACACAGTGAAACTTACTTCTGTGACTTAATTCTGCAGTTTCCTCGTATTTTGTTCAAAATATCAGAATCCTTGAATTATTACAGCCAAGAAAACTCCTCAGCTTCTGAGCCTTCCAAAAGGCATGCAGTTTTCACAAAAACACTGTGAAAACACAGCTTGAACAGCAAGTAACTATTATTTTATGACCTCAGTTGAGAAACAGTGATGATTAAAAGAAAAGAGCAGAATTTTATCAGTACTTAATTTATGGTAATCCTGAGAGTAATTTGAAAGGCAACACTTGTTAAAAATAGGAACTGTCTGGAGATAAGACCTCTAGGATCAGTGGAGTATGTGAAACTGTGGAAAACAAAGGCAATAGCAATAGACAGGTGGATGCTAATACAAGTTGAACAATTGCCAAAACTCCTCACCATGCCTATAAATATGGAATAACATTGTTTTAGAAATAAAAGTAGATACATTTAATTTAAGGTAGACAAAAGGTAGCACCGAGAATCTGCAGGTCTAAATTATTATAGTTGTTGCAGGCAATTCTTTTCTTATAAATATTTTCACCTCTGTTTGCCATAATAACATTTTGAAAGAGTGTGATTAGGGATGATGAATTATTATATTTGGACAAAATAGCACAGTAGTGATAAGGTGAAGTCAGACTTTTAAAAATGTATCATAGGAAGTGCAGCTCCGTCAGAGAGTGTTTTTGGATGGAGAAACAGCACATCATGCCCACCACTATCGTCATGCCAGCCCTTCTCTCCCTCCTATAAAGGGAAAGCCTCTAATTGCCCAGTGTGATTTCAGTGAAACTCAATGAAGGGAAAACCTTATAACTGGAGTCACACCTACCACCGTGTTTTTCATCATGGCTTTGACGGTGAATCCGTCGCTGATCTGCTTCTTAGTTCTTTTCGCCTGTCGCAGTGGCTCCTGCAATTGGGGCGGTCTGCCTTTGTGGGGGCTCACGCCCTCTTTCTCTGCCACCATCGTTTCAGATGGCAGGATTTGGAAGCAAGAGGGAAAATAAAATAACTCAGGGACGAAAGCAATTCAAACGATAAAAATGAAATAAACCAACAATCCCCAAGCCTCCTAATTCCCGTCCCCCTACATTAGCTCTCCTTTAGCCCCGGCGTGGACTCCGGATGTGGGAAAATTGGCCTGTTTCTAACATCAACTCGCTCCCAACTACTTGGTTGCTAGGCAACGTATCAACAGCCAGGCCGCGCAGCGCAAGAATTCTACTCTTGTCAAGAAACCTCGATCCGGCTGAATACGCGCACGGTGGGTGCGCATGCTCGGTAGTGACAACTGAAGTCGACACCCTTTTGTTTTGCCCTCAGTTACTAGGCGATTTTCCTGCCTCCAGATTTCGAAGTGGCGAAGACGTTGAGGATAGCAAGGACTAACTGGGAAAGTTGCGCTGGGCTAAAACCCCGTGCAAGCGATAACTTTCCAAAAAGAATCGGAATAATGAATAATTTCCGGCGACGGCAGAGCGTGCTCGGTAACTCACACCGTAGACGTTTTGCTCTGGTTCGGCTCTCTTTTCGTGTGTAACGTTCCCACGTGGTCTAGAGACAGAGGAGGAACCGAGTTGTCCTCCAATAATGAGAAAATGTGTCCGCTCCTGGCCCCATGGAGGGAAGGTTAACAGCATTATATGCTTGGGGGAAGGGAACAAATCCAGGCGGAAATATTGCCAACAGCTGTCATTCCCCCTATCCGTTTTACCTCTTGTGTGTATTAATTCTAGAATAATTGACTTGGAAGAGGCCTGTAATATTTAAGAGCATTCCAAAATGTTTCTAAGTTCTGCGTCCTTCTCTATTTCAAAAATATACTCCATATAAAATTGCACGCAATAAGATGATCAATACGATAAAGGCTACGATTCCATCCACGCTGGCCAGGGGAAGGTCCTCGGAAATAAACGAGGCACACTTCCAATTGCTCAATCTCAAAAAGAATTATGCAGCCTTAGGAAAGACGTCCAAGTAATCGGCCTCCCTCTCCCGTAAAAATATCCAACACAGCCAGAAAACTTATTGGTCAGGGTGTATGTAACCGGATGCGTGGAGACATCCCACCGCCTTTCGCCTTGTCAGTTTTAAGTTCGACTGCCGGCGTTTGTTTTGTTTTACATGTTACAAAAGCAGGGGGGAAATGTTGCCTTAGGTGCTTGATACGTTTTATACACAGGGACAAAACGAAAGTACACGTTTAATTTGTACGTGGTCCACACACCCCAAGTTAAAATTGATTTTTGACAGCTTCATCGAATAGTAACACTGAACTAATACGACGCCAGATCAATTTAAAATGTACTTGCTGAACGCCGAGCTAAGAAAACCCTACTACAGTACTATAGAAAGAGCATGTTTAAACGTCGTGGAAAGTGTTTCGAACTTACATTCGATCCGCTTTTGAAATGTTTCTGACCAGTTAAATCTCATTGTTTCCCCCCAAAAAAATAGCTTATGATGGTGCCACCGTATTATCTCTGTTCTCTGTTTATACATTTACGAAAAGTAGTAGAAGCGTGATGATTACATAACGTTGGTTGTGTCTTTCTTGGTGTGTGTGCCTGCGGGAGCAAGCGGCAAAAGAAGGCAATGCGTCCTGGTAAATATACATGTTGTATGAGAACCAATGTGTTTCTCCGAAAGGGAATTGACATTGGCACTGAGTAAGCCAGAGCGGTACACTATGCTCCTCTTGTGCAAACGTACCCTTGTGACGCCCAGGTGAGAAAACCAAGTTGCCCTGATCACATGACCCACCGAAAAGCGAAGGACGAGGAAGGTTCCTCAGCTGAGCCTAAAGAGGCAGGTGAGAGACAGCGACAAGTGTGCTAGAAGAACTACACTTCCCAGAGCACACTGCGGCAAGACTCGCCTCCCTCGCGCCGGCGTTCGGCTTAAAAGTCTCGGCGGCCTGCAGGGAGCATCGTGCTGTATTCGGAAGGTTAGCATTCGAGCTGCGAATGTGGAGAGGGCAGGGTTCGTGAGCGCCCCCTTGCCTGCCGCTGGCCATGATAGGTGAGTGGGACCCGGATGGAGCCTCCCTCCGCCGTATCTCCTTTTAGCAAAAGAAAGAGGGGAAGAGCGTGTTTGTGCTGGTGGCGTCCCTGTGGAGCTGCGCATTCCCTTCGCTTGTTGAGGAACCCAAAACCTTTTTGTTTTCGCACGCACTGTTACACACGACCTTGGAGCTTGTCAGTTATGTCTTTGAGGCAATTTCGTCTTTCTAGTCATCTCTAATCCATATGGTTCTTATTGCGGGGCTTTTTTCTCCTCACAATAAGAAACTAAAATATCCTGGTGTTGTATAATACGAAAACTCTTCGAGTCCTCAGATGGCTTCTCCTTCCGCCCTTATTGTACTCCACTATACTATAGCATAGGGTCAACTGTACGCCACGTTGAACAACCCCCCACAGCCATGTTAAGCGCAGCCACTATTGTTTTGAACGAAAACAACAACAAACTCGCCACCACGCCTCTTTCCATGCCCTTCTGTAGCACTAGAAACAAGCCGAAAAGGGAAAGGGCTGCCTTTTAACTGGACCCCTGAGCACTGTGGAAATCTCAAGGCAACCAGTCTCAGAAACCTCTTTAAAAAATGAATTAGAATTTTCCCTTGGCTTAAAACACCCCATGTAAACAAAGCAATGCAACATCTCCAGGCCTGTGTTTAGAAGGTTGAAGTTTACTTTGTAGCAAAAAGCACTAGGAGTATTTGGGTATGTGTTTTATTTACAAACACATAGTAAGTGGCAGCAGATATGCTTCTGCAAAAACTTAAGACACCCGGCTTTTTATTTAGGCCTGTCCTGGTCCCAGCCGCAACACATACTGTACTAACTAAAGCCAGTGAATAATTTTCACTCTGTCTATCTCTTTGTAACCCAACATTATCAGTCTTACTGTGCAACAGAATGAGGGGTGTCTTATTCCCAACTCTTGCTTAGCATTTCTCTTTTTCTCTCACCAAGACACAAAAAACTTGCATTTTATCAAGAGGTAGCCAGTTCAGTTAGTTTCACAGCACATTCTTATAAATTGTTATTTGCATATACATTCACTATGTTCAGTTAGGCTTTTTCAAAATTCTGCATAATATTGAAGCCTTAGATATACTCGGGCCAGCTGAAAAATGTGTGATTAAACACAACCTGTATTAGATTTGTGGCCCTATATTATCAATGAAATTATTGTTTTTCTACTGGAAGAGAGATATTATTCCCATGATCTTCCTACATATTTCCCCAAATATTTACCTGCATCTAAATACTGTCTGCTTTTGGTCTCATTTGTGCACACAAACAGGAACTATTTTTGGTGAATTTTAGATGTATTTGATGGTTTATTCATGGATCATGTTGTTAAATCATGATTTTTAAGGGAACAGGAATGTTTAAGAAACATTCAGAAGAGCTATTGTTGTTGGTTATATTGTTGTTTCAGCTTATATGCCATCCCTTAGTGCTTGAAGCACTCTCTCAGCGGTTTGCAACATAAAATAGCATTTTTTAATTTATGAAAGATAAAAATATGCACATTGATAAGTACGTGTATGTGTCTGTAACTTCAAAAATTTGTACCTTTTTGGTCTATTGAATATGTGGAGCCCATAATAAAGTTTAGCTGTGTAATTTGCATGGGCTTCTCTTTGTTGGGCCACCATGAAGATACTTAGTCTTTGGCTGTAATGATGGTCGCTATTTTTGTTCCTGCTACTGTTCTGTATTCTAAAGATAATGTGTAGGAACTCTGGCTTTTGGTAATAAAGCACTTGTCAGTCTGTGTGTCTGTTCAGTAGTAAACAATGTGGAATACATCTAGGTGTAGCATGTTGAAGGAAGCCAGAACTTCTGACTTTTTGCTGTCTCCAATGCATTAATCTATCAGTTAGAGAAAAGAGAGATCCAATAGATATTTATTTTCAGGTGAAAGCAAGCAAATAAATGCAAACTTCACTTGCAAAAAAGACATACGGAAAAGAAGCATGCCAGATAAATCAAAGTATACATTTTTATAAGGCAAACATGAAAGAGGGGCTGAGGGGGTTGGGAGGAGGAGGAGAAATGGGAGGAGATTTGGTAATTGGTAGGAATTTCCGCAGGTGCTCTGCTGTGGGCAATTATTCATTCCTCTGTGTCAGACTCCCAGACTTCTCCAAGGATAAGATTCCAATTTAGAAAATACAGTACTTTAATTGTAAAATGAAAGAAACTCAGACAAACACTCCTCCTCCCTTGTTCTTTCTTGACTGCCTAAGCAAAACCTTAATATAACTGGTCTACACATTGATATAGCAAAACAAGATTGCTATGGTTAGACTAAGATATATTTTATAAGTATTTACTAGACCCCTTCATCACCTTTGCTGAAGTATTGGTTTGCCAATCAGTCGCATCTTGTTTTGCTGACATTTATTGTAACCCAAAGTAAAAGTATTTCTTACTTTCTGGACAGCAGATAAATATTTTCCTTTTTAAAATATTGTACATTGATTGTGACCCTAGTATTCGCCACTCAGGTGGCGTCGGTAGTCCGCACCGCATTTTTCCATCTTTGGCGGATTGCCCGGCTGCGACCCTATCTCGACATGGGGGCGCTCACTACCTTGGTGCATGCGCTTGTAATCTCAAGATTAGATCACTGTAACCCGCTCTAC